TCCAGCAGAAGTTAAAATACCAGCCACTGGAAAGGTTTTTATGCCAACAGAGGCCCTCAGATGGTCAGCTCCAGAGTGAGACTCCTCCTGTTCTCCACTCTGACAGCCATGATGGAGCCCAAGCTGAGGACCTTGATGACAGTGACTTCAGTGAAGATTCTTTTTCACACATTTCGAGTCAGAGGACCACAAAGCAAAAGAATACATCTGAAAGTGAAAGCTCCTTCTTCCTGCATCAGAACAGGGAGCAGGATCTTGGGGAGCAGGCGGCAGAAAGGCGGCAGTGTCTGCTTTTTAGCTCCAGGATGGATGGTGATGAAAAGGGTCTGACTGAGAGCTGGGTGTGTTCCAGAGACCTCAGAAGAAGTCACAAAAGAGCAGCATTCAATCATAGCTACAACCCAAGTAAGGTGTACTTAGACTGGAGCAGAGAGGAGGACTCGTCCTCCTCAGGGCCTTCTCCCAGAGACAACCTGGCAGAAAAGCCTTCCTGCGCTCAGGTAGACTTTATATATGGCCAGAAACAAGTTGGGACTCCCATCTTCGCCCTTGGACAGGACACCTTCAGAAGTGGGGTTCCTGGGCAGGCTGAGGGCAGTTCACCATCCCTAGAAGACGGTTTTTCTTCACTATCTCATATTGCAGTTCCTGGATCCCCAGACCAAAGAGATTCAATCCCCACACTGCAGAGACAAGGCAGTGAAGACAGCCCAACTCAGCCTTTCCAAGGAGAAAACTCTAGAGAACCATTAGGCAACTGCTCTGAATATGCTTCTGGACTAATGGCTCCTCTCACAGTGTCCCTCCTGGAGACCCCAGCTCATAAGGGTCCTCCTCCTTTGGAGCAGCTGGCCCAGGATGAGGCAGAGCTCACAAGGGGGCCAGCTGTGGGCCATGTGGTATCCTCTGGTGATCAAGAAGCAGCCTTGACAGTGTCTTCAGCAACGGAGCACCTGTGGCTGTCCTCATCTCCGCCTGACAACCAGCCTAGTGGTGATCTTCCAGCTCTGTCCCCATCACCCATCCATCAGCATCCACAGGACAAACTGCCCAACAGAGAGGCTGAGCTGGGTGAGGTCTGCCTGAGCACCGAGCCTGTACATTGCTCCCAAGTACATGTGGGTGGAGAGCAGTATGATGCTGATGCTGAGGAGACAGAGTTGGGTGGCCCCTGGGGTTTCCTAGGAAAGTCGTTCTCCAATATCCATACTGGGGTATCCCATTCTGGACCTATACTTACCCCACATACAGGAAATAGTGATATCGTTGGTCAGCCATGGGTACAGAAGATAAAGCATCCTTCAGAGCTCAGTTGGCAGGAGCTTGGCTTGTCCACAGACCCCATCGGGTTGCCTTGCTACAGTGAGGATAGCGCATGGCTCACACGCAGGCCAGACTCAAGGTGCTTAGCATCTCTAGACTCTCCTCTGCTACCCCGCTGCTCTGCCAAGACTTCAGGGTTACTTGGGCAGCCCACTCTGAAGCAAGCACAGTAAGTTGGAACCCCTTGCACACCCCACTGCCTGTCCTACTTAATGTTTTGTCACAAAAAAAGGCAGCCATGCAGGGATGCACGAAATAGAACTTGCCTCTCTGGGTGGGCAGTCCCTGCTGCTCCATTGTGTATCACTAGAATCTGACAGGAGATAGATTTCCCCTTCTAGCTCAGCCTGCCTGCTTTTGTCCTGGACCTAGATAGAAGAAATGAGAGCAGACCTTATGCTAAGTATGTCAGCTTCACTGACCAGTCTTGAGAGCCTTTCTTAGAAAGCCAGAGGGCCGGGCACCCGTGGACTGTAATCCTAAGGAGTCTGAGTCGTGAGGATCATGGTTACCAGTCCAGGCAGGAAAGTCCGTAAGACTCTTATCTCCAATAAGCCACCAGAAATCCGGAAGTGGTGCTGTGGCTTAAGTGGTAGAGCACTAGCTTTGAGCTGAAGGGCTGAGGGACAGCACCCAGGCCCCACAACCGACCAAAAAAAAAGTCCCGGGGAACAAAGAAGCCACACCTGCCCTATCCCTTAGTATCTGGAGAGGAAAGGGTAGCTTGAAAAGCCCCATCTGTTTTGCTCTATTTTCTTGGTGCTCTCTAAACCCTTGACTGGTCCTGAGAGAAGAAGTGGGGAGGGAGATAGTGAAACAGCCCTGGTCAAAGCCTGGGTGGTTAACTCCTTGCCCCGTAAACGAAGCTCAGTTTCAGAAAGCTGCCTGAGAGGATAGGCAGCGAGCAGGATCACAGTTTCTTCTGTTCCCAGGAAGGTGGTCATCCGAGCACACCAGGAGCAAATGGATGAAATGGCTGAGCTGGGATTCAAGGAGGAGACCCTGATGAACCAGCTAGCTTCTAATGTAAGTAGTGTTGGCTGGACACTCCGGGGTGTTGAGAATTAACCTGTGGCTTAGTTTGATGGCAGTCCACGTTTACTGTGGTGTGTGTGGGTTCTGCTGTCACACTAACACAGTTAAGGCTTTGCTCCTCCTGCCACTGATCTGAGACAGCTTGAGAGGGAGGGTCCAAGTATTGCCCATCCCAAGCTAAGGCTTCCAGTCTTTCTTGTAGCCACACTGCACTGTGACCGTAGCAGTAACCAGCCTATAGCCTACAACATGCAGACCACAGGGTATTTCTACCTAATATCCTCCTGCTCTACCAAATACCCCCTCTACCTATAAAGAGGAGTGGGCCCCATCTAATGCCACAGGAACTCATTCAGATGACTTCTACCTGCAAGGGCCTGGTTTCTAAAACCCTCTTAAAGAGTTGGAACTAGAAAAGGATGATGTGGCAGGCCAATAAGAGCAAAAGCTCCACCTGTCGTGTTTCCTTTCTCAGGATTTTGAAGATTTTGTGACCCAGCTGGATGAAATCATGGCTCTGAAATCCAAGTGTATTCAGAGTTTAAGAAGCCAGCTGCAGCTGTACCTCACCTGCCACAAGCCAGCTGCAGCCCCTGAGAGAACAATGGTATCTTAGAATAAGACCTTACAGCAGATGGCAGGGGCAGTTTAGGGGCGTCAGGGCTGGAGGCCATGCCAGGTCCTCCCTGCACATACTCACTCGTTGGCTCTACCTGGACTAGCCTTACCCAGACATATATGGTCTTGTATAGGACTAGCTCCTTCCTCAGTTCCAAGCTCAGAACATCTGTTAGAAAGGAAAGGCCAGGTTAAAGTCCTTTAATACCCATTCCTTTACTTTGGGGCTCAAAACAGCATTTGCATTCACTCATCTCTGTCTGTGGGAACACATGTCTCTAATCCCAAGTCTGAGGATCAAAGAGTTGGTAACCTGGAGGTCAGAGGTCACAAACCAGGGAAGACAATTTGCTGAGCCCAGGGGCTTTATCAGCTGAATTCTGTACCTTTCTCTCTTCAAAGACTAAAACATTGGCCCAAAACTAGACTATGGATGCCAGTAGTACAGTGGTAGGATGAGCAAGTGCCCCACCACCACATCCATGGAGATAGATTACATTTGAGACATGTAAAATGAATAAACTTTAACCTGTCTTTAACCAGACTGAGGCAGGTTTTATGCTTACAGTACTAGCCCTTCCTGCAATCCAGTTATGAGACAGAAGAGGGTGCCCACATCACTGGTTTTCTTTTCCCAGCTCTACTTTTTGCTGAGGTGCCTATAACAATGCCCACCAGCACCTTGTGCTTTTGTGACAGTTTCTGGCTCCTGATTCCTCACTCTCCCCAGCCCTAATTGAATGATTCAAGACCTGGAGAATTGCAGGCAAGTATATCAGTTAGGCTTGTGTCCTCCAGGAAATCCTATCCAACCACTCTCTAGGCATAATGTTGAATTTTTTGGTATCAAATGCTATAGTCAGTAGTCTGATGACATTGACATGACATTTACATTCATGCATGTCTGTGTCTTTGAGTTCTGCTTGCTCCATTATCTTTTTAGCAGAAATAAGCTCAAGCTCACTTACGGCAGTTGCCTCAAGTCAAAGATTTCTGTGTCATAACATTGACCCAGAAAACCCATTGTCATGTAAACTAATTTTCTTTCTAGAAAAAAAGTAAGGTTTTAAGAGGAGTGCCTAATTAGAACTAAGTGTGGTGGCAGGCGTTTGAAGCCAGCTTATGCAACACAGTAAGACCTTGGCTCAATAAATAAATAAATAAAAATAACCTGGAGCCAGTGGCTCAGGCTTATAATCACAACTCCCCAGTAGGCTGAGATCTGAGGATTAAGGTTCAAAGCCAACCCAGACAGAAAAATCAGAGATTTTTATCTCCAGTTAACCAGCAGAGAAAGTGAGAATGTAAGGTCTCACCCAGTTCAAGCTGCAATATAGCTATAGGTAGATTAGTCAGATGATAAATGGATAGCATGTAAAATAAGACAGGATAATAAAGCAAGCCAAGGTAAGGTATACTATGTCCCTCTCAGGTAATGTGAATTACAACCACCAGAGGGCATCCTGCATCCAGTTTAAGGCTCCCAAGCCCGAGTCACTGGAAAAAAAAATCCACCCCAACCAAAAGCCACAAGGGATGGTAGAGAAACTTTAAGGATGAATTCTGTCACAGTGGCAATATTGATATTAGGAAAGCACTTTAGTTTTAACTTCACAGGAAAGGGAATTTTCTCACCTCCTAAGGGATTGCCTGAAGACCTAGCTTGCCTGACCTGCACAATCTGGCAGGAGGGCTTAGGTCTCTGGCCCAGGGACTGAATGAACTAGGTCAAGTTTAAAGAGATCCTGGTTTGTGCCTACCTTTGCAAACAAACAAAAAAGACTGGAGGGCCAACTATTAGGCCCCACAGACCTTTCTTCAGTAGGAAGAAAGTACTGACATGACAAAATGGGTAGGCCCTGTTCCAGCCTAGAAAATCACTTTACCACCTGCCCACCCTTCTGAGAGTTCTTTGCAATAAAGAAGTTATCACAACAGGACATACCTTTTAAGTTTTTATTAGTAGTTCTCTCTGAAGAATCAAAATAGTTAGCAAATTATTTTAGATTCATCAAGACATTATATCCTTTGTATTTAGATCTTTAATGATGTACAACATAATACAAAACAAACCAAAGAGATGGATTTCTATGCCTAGGTGTTACTCATTGTGTCATCCTAAAGCAGGGCTTAAGGAGGCTGTTCAAAGAGAACAGGGGGGTTAGTGCTGGGCAACTATGTTGTGGCCTATTTTCTCACCTGTTCAACATCCTGGGAAAGGACCAGTGATGATTTAGACAGACAAGTTTCCTAGAACTGGAGCTCTAGAGCCCTGGGCAGCAAAGAACTGTAGTCCAAATCAAGATGAAAGAAACAGGTTGGCTTAGGAAGCATGGGGACTGCCTAAAAGAAGAGGCAAATTGGCCCCAAGTTCATTCTTTGCACCTCAGAGACATCGCAGAACCAGTGTAACACTAAGTGACTTTAAAAGGGGAAAAGATAAAACCCTGGAAGAACCTTTCACTTGCATTCAACTTGAATTAAGAGTTCAACCTACCCGTGCAGGTAAGAGCGGGAAGCATCTAGCCCCAGAGCAGCACTAAATCTGGTCCTCCCCCCTTCTCCCCACTCCTCCTGGCAACCAGGCCAGGTTTTGACTGAGGACACAGAGACCCCAGAAAGACCCAAGTATTCTTTCTGCAAGGCCAAGGTGGGAAGGACACTTTTCAAAATACAAACGCATTTAATATGGAAGGAGCCAGGACAGGTCTGGGGCTCACATGCCCAAATATCTCCCAATTCCTCCCCAGGTCATGGTCTAGGCTCAGAGACTGACAAACCCAGTCTCTACATCTGACCAAACCCCAAAAGAAAATCCAGAAGCGAGCCCCCTTTCCTTCCCACAGATGGGCTCTGCAAGGCCTCCTGAGGGATGGTGATTCCGTGGCAGAGCCTACGCAGGGCCAGGTCTCAGCTGGCTCCAGCACGGGCCATGAGGTCTTCCAAAGCATTGTCCTGGTCATTGTTGTGTAATAGCAAAACTTCCTTAATGTCTTTTAGTTCAAAGCCCATTTCCTTAAATTTGCTCATTAATTGAAGAAACTCCATCATCTAAGAGACAGAAGAAAATACAGATTAAAGAAAAGGGTTCAAGCTAGGCACCAATTGCTCACACCTGTATTCCTAGCTACTCAGGAGTTTGAGATCTGAGGACTGGTTTGAAGCCAGCCTTGCCAGGAAAGTCTGTGAGACCCTGATCTCTAAATAAGCACTGAAAAGAAAAAGAAAAAGAAGCTGGGAGTCAGTGGTTCACACCTGTAATCCTAGCTACTTAGGAGCCTGAGATCTGAAGATGGCAGTTCAATGCCAGCCCAGGTAGGAAAGTCAGTGAAACTCGTATCTCCAGTAAACCACCAGAAAGCCGGAAGTGGCACTATGGTTCAAGTGGTAGAGCACTCGCCTTGAGCTGAAGAACAGCATTCAGGCCCAGAGTTCAAGCCCCACAACCAACAGACAAAAAAAAAAAAGAAGAAGAAGCCGAAGTATGGAGCTGTGGTTTCCTTGGTAGAGTGCTGGCCTTGGGCAAAAAAGATCAGGACAACACTCAGGCTTTGAGTGCAAGTCCCAGAACCAGCAACCACAAATAAATAAATAGTCTAGCCACATGGGCAAGGAAGGTATAGGTGGGTTCTGGAGGTAGGTCCCTTAGTGAGTAGCAGAGGGGGACTGTGGAGGAAGCCACAGTGGAAAACAGGTTTGATGTCACAGCCCATCTTTCAGGAGCTAGGCCTAGTCCCAGTTCACTCACCCAGTCTCATTCACATCCACAATCCCACTAAGGCAAAATACTGAACCCAAAAAGGCTGGTCTCCAAGGAATAAGGTTAACAATGGTCATCCAATAGTTTGACTACCAGCCAAGTCAATTTTCCCTTTCTTTCACTGGGATTTTAGTAGCCTTTAATCCAATGTTTCATCCAAGCTAACAGGCCTCAACATACCCTGTCTGGACAAGGTGGCTCTGCCCTTCAACTACTTCTGCCTGTAGAAGCATGAAGGTTCCTACCTTTTCTTCTGAACACTGGTGCATTTCCAGAGCCTCTTCCACTAAAAGAGGGTCGAAGCCCTTCTCGCAAAGCTGTCCATGTGCAAAGAGATAGTCAAGAATCTAAGAAACAAAACAAGAGGTTTAAGCATCTACTCCCTGTGTGCTTCCTGAAAGTGTCAAACTAGCTAGTGTGACATTTCTTCTCCACCCATCAGATCACCTGAACAGGCCTTGACTTTGTGCCCTGAACTATGAGCAACACAGCATAAGCAGCCACTTCCCAAAGGAGGTGCTATTCCAGCTGACTCACCTGCCAGGGCAGCCCAAGCCAGAAAATAAAGCATTGGACTGCAGTACCCTATTCAGAATTCCCTGGGCAGCCAAAACAAGATAAAAGTCTGACTGCTTACTTTTGCCCTCTGTGGAGCAGCAGACAAGTCACTGGAAGACATTCCAACTACTAGTCCTAAGGCTTGCCCCTCAGTCTCACTCCCCCAGAGCAGCCCTCAAAAAAAGGATTCTAATGTTGAGGGCAGGTTACTATCCCAGCCTTAGAGGCCAGCTCTAGCTCACTACTACTACCCCCCTGTAAACAAACTGCTCACCTGTTCAATATTCTCTCCTTTCTTCTTCATGGCTCTCAGAACACACTCATATGAGTAGCCCATGTTGACCACTGTCTCCACACACTGCCGCTCACTGGGAGACAGTGTCTGCAATTCAGAATAGGCTTGGGGACAGCTGGGCATGTTGGGCACTTGTGACACTGAGAAATTTGGAGGAGTGACCTAGTAGTAGAGAAATGAAAGAATCAAGGCAAGAAGACCTAGGCTCCAGAAAACGTCACAGAGGGAGCCTAATTCCGGAGCTGGGGACATACCTGCAGTTGTTGCTACCTCAACTCCCTCGCTTGCAGAAGGAAGCACACAGCAGCCACATAAACCCTTACTATCCCCCTAGGCTTCGGCTGGCTGGATCCATTTCTCTCCAGGTTCCATTTATCCCTTTCCTAGGCTGCTGTATCTGAGTGCAGATATCACTTACTGAACACTCCCTCTGGAGCTGACTTTGTCCCCCAAGTATCTCCCATGTCTCTCACTGGTCCAGGCAGAGGCAGTGAGTGCTGTTTCCTACATGGCCAGCTCAAGGTCTTGGGGTTTGTGTACCCCCCCTCATATCCCCTCCCCACTGTGCTGAAACGGAATGTGGACTCCAGGACGCTGTCAGTCTACTGCCCTGGCTGCAAGTGACTTGCTCCATACCACTGGATCTTGCCCTCATCTGACTACTATACAGATTCCTATGTTTAGCTTCTCCTACCACCATGGGTAATGAATCAGTCCAAGGCATAGACAGCTCAGTATCAGACTAAGGTCCCATCCATTATGTGAACAAGGTCACAAGCTGTTCTACAGCTTGGCTCAACACTCAAGAAACAAAATGTTTCAAAATTTTCTTTATTGGGGACAGGAGGGCGTGAGGCAAGAGCGAACCTCTGTCCTACAGCACATTCAAAATTATTTTTTTTTCTTCTTTGCTGGTCCTAGGACTTCAACACAGAGCCTGGGCTCTGTCTCTGAGCCTCTTTGTATTCCTTGTGCTACCACTGAGCCACAGTACCATGTCCAGCTTTTTCTGAGTAGTTTATTGGAGACAGGAGTGGGAGTTTCCTGGACTTTTGTGCCTGGGCTGGCTTCGAACTGTGATCCTTAGATTCACTGGTGCCCAGCTTCAAAATTAAATTTTTTCTTTTTTGTCTTTTGTCAATCATGGGGCTTGAACTCTAGTCCTTGGCACTGTCCCTAAGCTCTTCAGCTCAAGGCTAGCACTCTACTACTTGAGCCACAGCGCCACTTCCGGCCTTTTCTGTTTATGTGGTGCTAAGGAATCAAACCCAGGGCCTCAAGCATGTGAGCCAAGCACTGTACAGATGAGCCACCTTCCCAGCCACTCAAAATTAAATTTCTATAACCTGCTGCTCTCCTCAAACTCTGCTGGGCACACTAGGAAGACTGAAGGACTTCAGACCTATTCAGCTTCTGTTTAATCACCCTACCTACAAGACACTGTGGGTAGTCCAGTTATGGGGCTGCTAATAGGTTATGGAAGTCATGACAGAGCATGAATAGTAAACCAATATAGCTACTTTGCAAGCTCTAAAACTATCTCCCTTCAGGGACTGGTTCAACCTGAGCTCAAGACCTCAATAGCAAAAGAGAATGCTAGCTCTCATAGGATAAACCCAGCCAGCCAGATAGAAGTTATGACAAACTGCTTTTCTCATAAACCGCTTGAATATTTGAGTGTCTGGTCGAATATGAGCACTTCCAAAAAAATTACAAGTTAAAACAAAAATTTAAGCCAGGCACCAGTGGCTCACTCCTGTAATCCTAGCTACTCAGGAGGCTGAGTTCTGAGGATCACCGTTTAAAGCTGGGATACAAAAGTCCAGGAGACTCTTTATCTCCAATTAACCACTAGTGGCACTGTGGTTCCAAGTGGTAGAGTGCTGGCCTTGAGCAAAAAAGCTCAGAGACAGTACCCAGGCCTTGAGTTCAAGCCCCATGAATGACAATAGGACCTGAAAATGTTCCTTTTCTTTAAATATCTAATTTATATTTCTAGGCTCCTACTCCTAGGAGATGATAAAATGAAAACTCATCTTAAACTTATGTACACACAGAACATGACTCTAAGAGACTATGTAGGGGGGTGAGGGAAGGAGAGAGGAGGAAAAAGGAAGATAAAAGGGCAAGTAATTTCAAAATATGATACAACTATGTACAAAGTTACACAAGGAACCTCAATTAAAAACGATCAAAATGGGATTGGTGTTACAAAGGAAAAGAAGGCAATACAGAGATTATTCTAAGCAAAACATGTATGTATGTAATACCAAGTGAAAAACTCCTAGGTTTTTTGGTACATACTTCCAAAAAAACAGAAGAAATGAAAGTCAAGTAAACAGGCTCTGACGGGGGAGGGAGGGCAACAGGTAAGTGAGAGGGGATGAATAAGGTCGATAAGAGTTTATTTGCATGTATGGAAATAGTACAATTAAACCTACTGAAATTATTTTAAACAATTAAACCTACTGAAATTATTTTAAACAATTAAACCTACTGAAATTATTTTAAGAAGGGGGAGTAGGTTAGGGAAGAGTAATACAGGGTGGAAAATGGTAGATAAATTATTTATATATAAGGAAATGTCAACTTCCTTTTACAACTAATATATGCTAGTAATAATAAGTATTTATCTCGGGCTAGGTGTTAGTGACTTATGGCCATAATCACAGCTACTCAGGAGGCTAAGATCTGGAAGATCTTGGTTTGAGATCAGCCTAGGCTGAAAAGTCCAAAACAGTCCATCTAAAAAAATAACCAGCAAGGGGCTGGGAAGGTGGCTCAGTGGTAGAGCGCTTGCCTTGTATGCATGAGGCCCTGGGTTCCATTCCTCAGCACCACATAATCAGAAAAAGACAGAAGTGGCGCTGTGGCTCAAATGGTAGAGTGCTAGCCTTGAGCTGAGGGACGCCCAGACCCAGAGTTCAGGCCCCAAGACAAACCCAAAAAAAAAAAAACAGCAAAAATAAGTGTGTCTAGTGGAACAAGCCAGGCAAGGTAAGGCCAACTTCAAACCCAATAACCAGCTATATACACATACACACGCATGCGCGTGCGCACACACATGCGCACAAACACACCTTAGACCAGGCACTGATGGCTCATTCCTGTAATCCCAACTACATAGGAAATAGAGATCAGGAAGATTGTGGTTCAAGACAAGGTTAGGCAAAAAGTTAGTGCAAATCTCATCTCAACCAATAGCAAGGCATGGTAGTGTTCACCTGTGATCCTGGCTATATGGTAAGTGTAAATAAGGTCCTACCCCCAAAATAAGCAAGCAAAATAGTCTAGGGATATTACTCAAGTGGTAGTACACTTGCCTGAGGCCCTGTGTTCAAACACCAGTACCACTGGAGATTTTTTTTTTTAGGGAGGTAGGGGTGAGTCATGGGGCTTGAACTCTGGGCCTGCGCTCTTCAGTGCAAGGTGAGCGCTCTACTACTTGAGCCACCGCGCCACCTCCGGTTTTCTGGTGGTTAATTGGAGATAAGAGTCTCACGGACTTTCCTGCCGGGGCTGGCTTTAAACCAGAATCCTCATATCTCAGCCTCCTGAGTAGCTAGGATTACAGGTGAGAGCCACTGGCACCTGACCCATCAGAGATTTTTGACACATTTGTATATTCATGTTAGTATGAATCTTTACAAATATATGTATATATATTTGTATATAAATATATCTATATATTTATCTAGATAGATCCCAGCATCACCTTCAGTAAATATTAGAGATAACCTAAATATTCAACATAAAGTATGACTATTATTAGATAGTCATTTAAAAATGCATTTAGGGTAAGCATGATGGTTCACACCTGTAATCCTAGCACTCTGGGGGTTTATGCAGGAAGATGCCATGGTCAAGGCTAGCCTAGGCTATATAGTAAGGCCCTGTCTCAAAAAGTAAATAAATGACATTAAATGAAGGTTGAGGTACACATGATTAATATAGATACAACTATTTGTGTGTGGTGCTAGGAATCAGGTCCAGGGCCTTATGCACGCTATTGACCTGTATACCTCCAGTCCCAGATAAATTTTTTTAAATAACATTACTGCATTCAGAGCAGCTCTTTGTCATTTTTTTTAAATACAAAGGTAAAACATAAATCTTGGAGGGGTAAGAATTGACTTCAGCATAACATAGATTTTTCATATCCAATGGCTAAAATGTAAACTAAGAATGAACAAAACTGTAGAAAATGACTATTAAGGGCTGGGAAGGTGGCTCAGTGGTAGAGTGCTTGCCTTGCATGCCTGAGGCCCTGGGTTCGATTCCTCAGCACCACATAAGCAATAAGAAAAAAGCCGGAAGTGGCACTGTGGCTCAAGTGGTAAAGCACTAGCCTTGAGCTGAAGAGCTGAGGGACAGCGCCCAGGCCCAGAGTTCAGGCCCCACGATCGGACCACCAAAAAAAAAAAAGACTATTAAGGAATCTTTCCCAATATTAGTGTTTGAGGGCAAGGAAAGTTTGTTTTGTTTTTTGGGGGGGAGGTTGGTCGTGGGGCCTGAATTCTGGGTCTGGGCACTGTCCCTCAGCTCTTCAGCTCAAGGCTAGTGCTCTACCACTTGAGCCACAGCACCACTTCCGGCTTTTTCTGCTTACGTGATGCTGAGGAATAGAACCCAGGGCCTCATGCATGAAAAGGCAAGCACTGAGCCACTTTCCTAGCCCCAAGCAAAGTTTTTAGGAGGATATACCAGAGTTTCAAGGCTTCTAAAGAGTTTGGGTACTAAGCCTTAAAGGTCACAGTCTTTGTATTCCTAGGCAGTCTCCAAGCCCTACTTCTATCAAGACAGTTCCTCTGCCAAATCTTCCCAGCTGCCTTTACTCCACCCCACCCCTCTGATACGTGAACACTTGGAACATTGCAGACACGTTCCCACCCGCATTACTACCTTACTGAAACACTGTGGTCAACATTGCTGGCGTAGTATTAATGTAAGTGCCTAGAGGAAAGTTACCATATCCTGTACATTTCTAATTCCCTAGAGTTTGGCTTTGGGCTTAACACTTCAACAGGGCAATCAAATAAGTGGAAGCCTATTAGGATTTTCATAAGGGGAATTTCATTTAGTACAGCAAATTGAGAGATGTTTAGTGTCTCTCCCAAAAGCCACTAAAATAAATATTGAGAACTAAAATTATATTTACCTTTAGTGTCTAAGAAGAAAAAGTAAAAGCAAAGACAATAAATTTGAGATCTTAAAATGTGGAAAGTGCACAGAGGAATGTTAACTATTAAAAGCAGTAAGTAAGCAAGTGGAAAGAATCTTAAATCACTCAGATGCCTTAGAGCCAGACATTGGAAGCACCAGGTATTCTTGGGATAAAGTAAAAGCATGAGACAAGATACTCCCCCATCACACCCTCACCTACCATAACATAGGAGGTAGAAAATTTAGGGTTTTTTTAAAATGAGATTCAAATCAACAAATTAAAAAAAAGGAAAAAGCGGGAGGTATGGTTGGCACACAACTATAATCTCAGCACTCCTGGAGTTTGAGGCAAGAAGATTGCTAGTTGGAGGCCAGCCTGGGCTAATCAGTGACATGAGTTCTACATAGCAATACCCTGCCTCAAAAAAGCAAAAAAGTAATTTACATTATTATGTACATGCATCCAAATCTTGGATTTCAATGTGGTAGAAGATAAAAGAGAGGCTGCAGGAAGAGCTGGATATATCTTAACAGGAAGAATAAATTATCTAAATATGGTATCTTTAGTAAAAGATGATATAAACGTTTTATTCGGAAATAGAAAAGCCAAGTGTAGGCTAAAGCAGAAAAAGATTATGAGTTAGCAGACTCCTACGTAGTATGTCCCTGCCTTAAAAAAACGAAACAATGAATATAACTTAACAAAGAACCAGGCACAGATACATCCTATAGTACCAGCTTCTTGGGAGTTTGAGCAGGATGATCAATTAAGTCCAGCAGTTCAAAGCCTGCCTGAGCAACACAGACAATCCTTACTTTTCCCTTTAACATCCCTCACTCACTTCATCGCAAAGAGCTTCAGGAAAGCCACGTGTAGGTGGCTCATGCCTGTAATCCTAGCTACTTAGGGAAGCTGAGATCCAGAGGATCAAAGTTTGAAGCCAGCCCAGTCAGTAAAGTCCAAGAGGCCTATTTCAAAATAACCAGAAAGGGCTAAGCTGGTGGTGTGTCTACAGTGATGCCAGCCAAGCAAGCAAGCTGAGTGAGGTTCAGGCCCTGAGTTCCAACCCCAGAACTAACTAAATTTTTAAAAAAAGGATTTTTCTTCTAAGGAGACAGGAGAATCATGAAGCCAAGGCCAGCTCAGATCAGATAAGAGGTAAAGATCTTGTCTCAAAAACAAAACAAAATGCAAACAAAAGAGCTAGAAGCACAGCTGAAGTGGTATAGCATTTATCCTAGCATATATGAGACCTTGGGCTCAATCCCCAATAATTTTTTTTAATCACAAATGTCTCAATTACTTTAAATGGGGGTGGGGGGGAGGGAATGGGACGGCGAGAATGACATGACGTATTGGTTAAGGATCCCTTATCTTTCCAGGATGCTTTTATCTAAAGCAGGAGTATAATGCTGACCTTAACAACTGACCAGGAAAAATTAGGATGAAACCTACACTGTACACTCTTCAAGTTTATCTGGAAAGAGGTACAGGAAGTTTATAGGAAGCCAGGAGCAGCCCAGCACTGGTGGCTCACACCTGTAATCCTGGTTATTCAGGAGGCTGACATCTGAGGACAGAGTTTCAAAGCCAGCCCTGGCAGGAAAGTCGGTGAGACTTTCATCTCCAGTTAACCACCAGAAAACCAGAAGTGGTGCTGTGGCTCAAGTGGTAGAATGCTTGCCTTGAGCTGAAGAGCTCAGGGACAGCGCCCAGTCTCAGAGTTCAAGCATGAAGCTCTCCAACAATGGCAACACTCACACAATCATTTACCAAGAATGCTACTGCATCTGCAGGGACCTTGCCCTTGTAAATCAGACCAAAGTTTCATCTTTCAGCGGGCTAATAGCAGCCTTGTTATGGTCTCTGATAGACAATACAATTAAGTACCAATACAATTAAGCTCCTCTCTGATTCTAAAGTGTCTTGACGTGTTTAGTCATTAAAAAAAAAGAAATCTATGAGCTGGCATGTTAAAAGGTTCTTGGGCTTCTATGTTTACATTCTAGAATGCATTAATGTTTTATTCTATACTGCTGAAATAACCACATCAATAGCTAAGCTCACACTGTGTTAAGGAGAGGAACCTCAATGAATCTTCAAGGGTTTTTTGTGCCAAAATCAGATTTTCTTCAAGAAAGCTGTAATTTTCTTATTGAGCCAGCTCTCTACATTAAATCCGAGTCCTCAGGACAACCATCCCCCTCCCTCCCTAGGAAGAAGACTGTACAAATCTTAACAAATGTTCATGGTGACAGGATTAAAAAATAACTATATGACTATATGGCTATGCTTGCGAAGCAGGCACTCTCCCATCACACGTCCAGGCCCTTTTTACCTAGAGTCTCAATTTATGCTTGGATTGGTCTGGGCTATGATCCCCTCCTACTGTGCTTCTCCGTGTCACAGGATGACAGGCACAGAACACTGTACTCAGGCACTGTGCTTCCCCATAACTGGGATAACAGATGTGACCACTGTGTCCATCCACTGGTGGAGATGCAGTCTTAATTTTTGTACCTGAGGTTACCTTCAACTCTGATCCCCTGATCTCTACACCTCATAAGTATCTAGGATTAGACTTTGGCTACCATGCCTGGCTAAAATGTGCAGATTTTTAAATGACAGCTTTCTACTTCATCCTTCAACTTCAAACACAAATTACCTACCAATCACGAAGGAACCACCCAGTCTGAAGAAATCTAACTCCAAGTTAGCCAAACTTTGATTGTAAAAAACTATACGCAGGGAAATGGCAACACTGTGGCTCAAGTGGTAGAGCACTTGCCTTGAGCTGAAGAGCTCAAGGACAGACAGTGCCCAGGCCCAGAGTTCAAGCCCCATGACTAACCACCCCCCCAAAAAAAAAACCATACTCAATGCACAACAACATGAAGATAAGGAAGCTGGAAGAAGTTACAAGGAGCACCAGGGCAGGTTTAAAAGAAAGAAAAAAATAATTGGAAAAAAAATTAAATACAGCCATGCATGGTGGCTCAAACCTACAATCCCAGCACTTGGGAGGTAGTCAGGAAAGCAGGTTATCTAACTAGACCTTGTTACCAAACAAAAACTTTAAAAAGCCAGGAGCTAGTGGCTCACACCATAATCCTAGCTACTCCAGAGGTTGAGATCTGAGGATTGTAGTTCGAAACCAGCCTGAGCAGGAAAAGCCCACGATACTCCAGAAGTGGAGCTGTAGCTCAGGTGGTGGAATGCTAGTCTTGAGCAAAAATCAAGGTAAGCTGGGTGCCATTGGCACACATCTGTAATCCTAGCCAGCTCAGGAAAGTCTGTAAGACTCATCTCCAATTAACCACCAGAAAACCAGAAGTGGCTCTGTGGCTCAAAGTGGTAGAGCGCTAGCCTTTAACAAAAAAGAGCTCAGGAACAGTGCCCAGACCCTGAGTTCAAACCCCATAACCAACAAAAAAGAAAAAGAAAAAAGCTCAAGGACAGTGTCCAAGCCCTGAGGAGTTCAAGCCTCAAGACAAGCATACACATACACACAAAATTAAAAAGGAAAAAAGCCCTAGAACATGGCAGCACATAAAAACAAAATAATAGCTATATGCTAGTGGTTCACGCCTATAATCCTAGCTTCTCAGGAGGCTGAGATCTGAGGACTGAGGTTCAAAGCCAGCCCGGGCAGGAAAGTCCTTGAGACTCTTATCTCCAATAAAACCACCAGAAAACTGGAAGTGGCACTGTGGCTCAAGTGGTAGAGTGCTTGCCTTGAGCTGAAAAGCACAAGGACCGCACCCAAGTCCACAGTTCAAGCCCCACAACCAACAAAAGAAAAAATAATAATAAAGACTAGAAATGCCATTCAAAGGATTCCCATTATTCCTTTATCTTTACAGAGGAAAAAAAAATCCCCAAAAGAATCAGGGATGCCCTAACCTAGGCTAGAGGTATATGTAGTGGTAGAGGACTTGCCTAGCATACCCAAGGCACTGGGTTCAGTCGATAGCACACAATAAGTAGGTACACTCAATCTAACTAGGCTCTGTTTAAAACTTAATCCTGGTCCTCAGGAAAAGCAACGTTTGGTACTGTAACTTAGGGGAGTAATTTCAAAGACTTACTGTGGAACCAGTATTTGGAGGTGATGATTCTTCTGTGTACATAGACAAGACAGACAGGGAAGGCATCTGGGAGGATGTCAGGGTTGGCACTTCTGTGCCACTGTCCAAGTTCAAAGCTGAAAGCCCAAGAGTATGGTCCCCATTGAGCTCACTGGCACTGCTTTGGGTAGAAGGCTTTAGGGAATTCCAGGATGTGCCGCTGCGGAGGCAGGATGTGCTATGGAAAGTGCTGGCCAGTTTGACTGTCGTCTGACTGCTGTCATCAGAGTCAAGTTTGGGGAAGGACAGAGATTTGATATTGCTTACTGCAGGGATTGGGGGTAGGGACACTTTGGAAGACAGCGATATCTTTTCACAGTTGCCCAACTGTGGTAACGTTATAAAGCCATTGGGTTTATGAAGAGGCTTGAAATCTAAGGTTGCCCGCTCCAAAGATGCCAACACCTCTTCATCCTGTAACACAGACCCAGAGCCTCCTCTAGGCAAGTTATTGTCCAATATCTGGGCCATAATAGGTCCAGTGGTTCCTACCAGAATGTTTCTCAGCTCTTCCTTCTCATCAATAGTTTTTAACTCCAGATTTTCAAATGGGTCCTCTTCGCACTCAAAGTCAGCAGGATTGAAATCTGCCTTTGTGTGGGGTGGGCTGAGAACTTTCTGTTTTGTGGCACTACTGCTGACCCGAGTTGGAGTGAGGATGCTGTTGTGCTGCAAGCTGGCGAGGATGGGATTAATAGGAGGTGGCTTTGTGGCTGCACTGTGAGTCTTGGGGAAGCTCATTTTGCTATCGCCCTCTGGGCCACTCTTAGAGTTCACTTTAGCTTCTGCTTCCTCGGCCTTACGCTCTGCTTCTTGCTGGGCTTCTTGGATTTTCTTAATGTCTTCAGCCCACTCAATGGTTTTCTTTTCCAAGGAGAAGTCATACTGCAAAGATACAGCAGAGAAAGGTGTGAACTGAGGTGGCTGCCCTTTGCCCACCCAATTCACTCCTTCCTCACTCCTACACAAGAGAGGTGGCCAGACATTTAAGGCACGTGGGGTGATCCTCAAGAAGAAAGAGGCCTCGATAGTTTAACCGAACCATGCTCCCAGATTACTTGCAGAAATTAAGTAGAAAGAGGTCCCACCAAGGCAATCCTACAGAGTAAGACAAGGAACCTTGCCACTTCCTTCACTTCTCTTCCCTTGGGCCGTTTTCCTCCCTAGAATTACTCTTGGCTCAACCAGGAAGCTTTAGCCACTTATGTTATGAAGTCTTTCCAAAATCTTACACCATTTGTCTTTACCAGTCATCTGATAGAAGACACATGTAAATCACACGTAGCTTTAACCTGTCATCTCTAGCATTTTTCCAACATCACAATCCACTTTAGACAACAATCCAGCTAGACCCTCTTTAGGTCTCTATTATCTAACAGAGAGTGAGTGAGTGAGTGAGTGTGTGTGTGAGTGTGTGTGTCTTATCTAAGACTGTGTGTGTGTGGTATTGGGTGTGTGTGTGTGGTATTGGGTGTGTGTGTGTGTGTGTGTCTGTGTGTGTGTGTGTCTGTGTGTGTGTGTTTTATTGGGGTGAAACCCAGGACTTCACACATGGTAAGCAAGCTCTACACTGAGCTATATTCCCAGCCCAGGATGATTTTCTATGACTTTCTCTAGATTTTCTCAACCCCGAAATTGTAACTATTATTACCCCTACTACAAAGGCTATGCACAAAGTCATAAAGCTGGTAAGTTCTAGAGCATGGATTTCAACATAGGCAGTCTCACTAGATTCTCTACACATATACTTAGATTATAATGAGTAGGTTGCACTCAAAATGCAAGAATCTTATTAAGAAATCCTGAGCCAGGCACTGGTGGCTCACACCTGTAATCCTAGCTACTCAGGAGGCTGAGATCTGAGGATCTCAGTTCAAAGCTAGCCCAGGCAGTAAAGTCCGTGAGACTCTTATCTCCAATAAACCACTAGAAAACCGGAAGTGGCGCTGTGGCTCAAGTGGTAGAGCGCTTGCCTTGAGCTGAAGAACACAGGGACAGTACCCAGGCCCAGAGTTCAAGTCCCACGACCAGCAAAAAAAAAAAAAGAGAGGGAGAGGCTAGGCACTGGTGGCTGGCTCATGCCTCTAAGACTAGCAACTCAGGAAGCTGAGATCTGAGGATCACAGTTCAAAGCCTGCCTAGGCAGGAAAAGTCCATGAGACTCTTATTTCCAAATAACCACCAGAAAACTGGAAGTGTAATGTAGTTCAGGGGGAAAAGCTCAGGGATAGTGCCCCGAACCTGAGTTCAAGCCCTACAAATGACAAAAAAAAAAAGGAGAGGAGGAGGGAGAAAGGAAAGGAAAGTAGTAGAAAAAAAGGGAAGGAAGAATGGCTTAATGGGAAGTGATTAGACCTTAAGAGGGATTAATGACTTTCTTAGAGGTTCTTGTTTAAAGAGAATCTAAGCCAGGTGTGCCGACACCCAACTACAATAATAGCACTCAGGAGGCTGAAGCAAGAGAATCATGAATTCAAGGCCATCCTGGTCTATAACTTGAGACCCTGTCTCAAAATGACAATAAAAATGTTAATTTAAAAAGAAAGAAAAGACTGGCACTTGTTCAGAATCACTCAGTTCCTGGGGAACCCAGCAATCTCTCCTTTCTTGCACATGGGCTCCTTCTACATGCATGCATTCCCTTTCCACTTTTTCAACATGGTATGACGTAAGCCAGATGGCCAACAGGGGCTGAAGAGATGGAGCCACCCAGTCTTGAACTTTCAGCCAATAAAACTGTAAGCAAATAAACTTTTTCTATACAAAGCACTCAGCCTCCTTTATTATAGAAACACAAAATAGATTAAAACAGGGGGCCAAGTATTTTATTTAATCCTTGTTATATATTCAAAAACTAATTATTTGCCTTGAAGAATTTAAGAAATCTTGTAAGATTACAAGAACTCAGATCCTGGGTGCTGTCCCTCAGCTCTTCAGCTCAAAGCTAGCGTTCTACCACTTGAGCCACATCGCCACTTCCAGCTTTTTCTGCTTACGTGGTGCTGAGGAATTGAACCCAGGGTCTCATACATGCAAGGCAAGCATTCTACCACTGAGCCACCTTCCCAGCCCTGCAAAGCGATTATATGACAATTCTAATGTGTATTAGAGTGATAGCAGAATCTGTTATAAACAGTTATGACACTAAGTGCCATCACCACTATATCCAATAGAAGTTTTCTGGACTCTAGATGTAATTAGCTAAAAAAAAAAACCTGAGTCTATATTATTATGCAAGGACAAATGTGAACAAGTTATAGACACATCAAACTGTCTAGAACTCGAGGTCTGTTTTCTGGCTACATAAGGCACCAACATCAATTCCACAGCCAAATTCTCCAGGCAAATAAAGCTTAAAGTTGTTTTGTGCAGTTACTTCTACCTGGCCCACGTAGAAATGGAGGTTAGAGCCTTGATCTCTTTTGGCCTGAGTGGATGCTTTAGGTTTCTATAATATGCCTTTATCAGTGCTACACATACTAAGTAAGAAACACCTGCAAAAACCTGAAGTGGCAAAAATTTGGAATTCAAAATAAATTTTCTGCATATGTCAAATGAAGCAATGAACAATATGAGAAAACACAGTTTTTGGTTTTCAGAGGGGGATCTCTTTGTTGCCAAGTTGGTCTCAGCTCAAGTGATCCTCCTACCTCAAGCTACCAAGCATCTGCGTCTACTGACCTACCTGCATTACAGCAGCCACCAAGTCATCATCTTATTTTCTAGTTATTTTTGCTATATTTTAACTTTTTGTGTGTGCCTATGTGTGTTCTTACTAATTTGTGTGTGTGTTGTACTAGGTATCAAATTCAGAACCTTATGCATACAAAGTATATATTCTACCACTGAGCTACATTCACTAGGCCTAGGGATGTTGTCAATCATACTGCTAATAGTACTATACTCACAGATAAGTATTTTAATGACTATGTGTAGCTACCTATTTAAAAAAATTAGGCAAATAAAACAAAGAAAAGTTAATAAGGTAAATCTACCTTTTACAGTTCAATGAAATCTCCATATACAAAAGGAATACCAGGGTTGAGATTGTGGCTTAGTGGTGTAGTGCTTGCCTCACATGCATGAAGCACTGGGTTTGATTCCTTAGTACCATATACACAGAAAAAGCCAAAACTGGGGCTGGGAAGGTGGCTCAGTGGTAGAGTGCTAGCCTTGCATGCATGAGGCTCTGGGTTGGATTCCTCAGCACCACATAAGCAGAAAAAGCTGGAATTGGCACTGTGGCTCTCAAGAGGTAGAGCGCTCGCCTTGAACTGAAGAGCTGAGGAACAGCACCCAGGCCCAGAGTTCAAGCCCCATGACCGACAGAAAAAAAAAAAAAAAGAATTGGCAAGGATGTGGAGAAATTAGAATACTCTTACAGTGCTAATAGCAATGCAAAATTATACACTAGCTACTTTGGAATATAGTCTGTTTTTCATACTATTAAACATAGCTATCATAAGACCCATCATTTCCAAAAGAAAACACAGTCCACAGGGGGGGAAATATTTATAATGGCATTATTCATAAGTGGAAAAACTAGAAATTATATTAACTGATGAATATAGCAAAATGTGGCATATCTATACAATGCAGTATTATTCAGACCATAAAAATTAACAAGATACTAATCATTCATACAATTGGATAAACATTAAAAATGTAATAGGGCTGGGCGATGGTGGCTCATGCTTGTAATCCTAGCTACTCAGGAGGGTGAGGTCTGAGGATAACGGTTCACAGCCAGCCCAGGTAGGAAAGTCCTTGAGACTCTTATCTCCAATTAACTACCAGAAAAAAACTGGAAGTGGCATATGGCTCAAGTGGTAGAGCGCTAGCCTTGAGTTGAAAAGCTCAGGGACAGTGCACAGGGCCCAGAGTTCAAGCCCCACAACTGAAGGAAGAAAAAAAAAAGTAATAGGGACTTAAAGGCTGATTTTAATAAAAGCACTGACTCTTCACTGGGGCCTGAAGATGTCCAATGGGGCAACTTAAATCAGAATAAAAGCCTGGACTTGTCTTTTTCTATATCATTTTCTTGCATTCATTTTGAATTAAGGAAAAAAGTGTCTGATGAATAAACATCTCTGACAAGACTTGAAATTATTTTTGCTTTTTGTTGTTTTGTGGGTTGGCTTTTTTGTTTTGGTTTTGGTTTTTTGGCTTTTGTTTTGCAGTACTGAGGGTTCAACTTTTCCTTACCACTTAAACCAAACACCCTAGCCCTATTTGACAAGAGTTGAAACTATTCCCCCTTGCAGCAGCAACCTTCTCAACACTGATAGGGCCCAATTCTGAGATAATGATCACCAGACCAAGACTTAAGCAAATCTCCAGCTATGCAATCCCTAGCCCCAAGAGTGTAGGTAGCTCCTCAAGGCAGACTTAAAGTCACTAACTGCTTTCTTTCTTTGAGTGTGTTCATACTGAGAAAACTGAGTGTTTTCCATCCAGTCTTTACCATTCTTTTCTTCAAAGTGTCTAGTGAGATAAGTGCCTAGATCTGGCTCCTGGGCACAAGTCAGACCTTAGGACCTAGTTTGATGATTAAAAAAAAAAAATGCGAGGTGAAATAAGCTCAAAGGCTACATTCCATATTTTCAGATCTCATTTATACGGTATGTCCAGGAGATACAGAAAGTAGACCAGTGTTTATCAGAGACTGGGAGCAAGTGGCAGGGGGATGAATTGCTTTAGGGAAATAAAAATGTTCTGGGATTATACAGCAGTAATATTTACACAGCTCTCTGAATATAACCACTATATAGCTTTAAAAGGTAAGCTCATGGCATGTGAATTATATCTCAATAAAAAATTTTAAAATAAAATTTTCAGATGGCTCACACCTGTAATCCTAGCTACTCAGAAGGCTGAGATCCAAGAATCAAGGTTCAAAGCCAGCCTGGGCAGTAAAAGTCCATGAGACTCTTATCTCCAATTAACCACCAAAAAGCCAGAAGTGGTTTCAAGTGGTAAAGTGTTAGCCTTGAGGGGAAAAAAAAACTCTGATTAGTGCCCACGTCCTGAGTTCAAGCATCAGAACTAGTGCACACATACACAAAAATAAAGTAAAATAAAAATTTCAGCCGGGCACCGGTGGCTCAAGCCTATAATCCTAGCTACTCAGGAGATGGAGATCTGAGGATCATGGTTCAAAGCCAGCCGGGGCAGGAAGTCCTTGAGACTCTTATCTCCAATTAACCACTAGAAAACCGGGAGTGGCGCTGTGGCTCAAGTGGTAGAGCACTAGCCTTGAGCTGGAGTGCAGGGACAGCGCCCAAGCCCAGAGTTGAAGCCCCACGACGGACCAAAAACTAAAAATTAAATGTAAAAAAAAAATTCAAACTGTGATTATCCACAGTAAACAGAATGAGGATGATGACACAGAATTCCTTTTAAACTAACATAAACCAGAAAGAAAACTTTTCCAGAAAGTTGTATTTTTAAAAAAATATGTATCTTGGGGCTGGGAAGGTGGCTCAGTGGTGGAGCGCTTGCCTTGCATGCATGAAGCCCTGGGTTCAATTCCTCGGCACCACATATGCAAAAAGAGAAAAGCCGGAAGTGGCACTGTGGCTCAAGTGGTAGAGCGCTAGCTTTGAGCTGAAGAGCTGAGGGACAGCACCCAGGCCCAGAGTTCAGGCCCCACGACCGGACCCAAAAAAAAAAAAAAAAAGTATGTATCTTCTGAAGTCACAGGAAGAAATGCTTGAGTACTATACATTTTCTAAACTGTAAACATCTTGACAACAGTTATTATTAAGGCATGTATCTCTCCATCTCTCCTCAGTACCCCACAGAGTACCTCTCCAAAGTAGGCATACAATAAATGTGTACAAAAAGGAAGAGGCTATATGCTGCTTTTAATAAGCAATTCAATAATTTGTAGAGCTTAAAGATCAAAGAGCTAAGTGGCCCTTGAGGAGATGGCATTCAAGCACAGTCTAAAATACAAAATATATTTTAGCAGAGAGGCAGCTGTTAATACAGTGAGAAATAGAAGAGTATTCCAGGTAAAATAGGAGCTTATGGGGAAAGCTGGGTGCAGGCAAGTAATATACAAAGTCTGTTCTATAAACTGCTAGTAACCTAGTTTGAGAAACCTGGAGGCAACAAGCTAATATACTTTGCTTTTTTTTTTTTTGTCGGTCGTGGGGCTTGAACTCTGGGGCTGGGCGCTGTCCCTCAGCTCTTCAGCTCAAGGCAAGCGCTCTACCACTTGAGCTACAGCGCCACTTCCAGTTTTCTGGTGGTTTATTGGAGATAGGAGTCTCATGGTCTCTCCTGCCCGGGCTGGTTTTGAACCACGATCCTCAGATCTCAGCCTCCTGAGTAGCTAGGATTACAGGCGTGAGCCACCAGCGACGGGCTGCTAATATACTTTGCCATAATGTTGTCTCTACATTACATTCAATAATGATCAGTGGGTCACTAAACATTTTTTAATAGTTCTTTAAGAATATTAATCTTTATAGGTGGAGATGGGAGGGAAAGACTGGGAGAGAGAAAGGGAAATGTACTTATTATCTGACTTATGTAACTTTCGTAACCTTTGTAATAACAATAAAAAAAACTTAAAAAATACTCTAGAAACAATGTGGAAAAAGGAAGGAAAATATGACAAAGGGCCAACTAAATAGGCTACTAACATAGACCAGGTGAAAAATAAGGTTGTACTGAAATAGAAAAATAGAAACAGCAAAAGAAATACATTATCTAACTTAGTGACTGAGAAGACAATGAAGACATGAGCAGAGAAAGAAAAGGGGTGAATAAGTTAACTGGGCAATGGGGTTTTATTTTGTGCTAGGCACAAAGTGGCAAAAAATATATTAACCCAATAGACTAAACACAATCTGTATATATTGTTTGTGTTTGGAAATAGAAATAGAAATGTGGGAATATATAACAATGTGAGCCAGGCAGTAACAGAAGCCACGACAAATACAAATTAGGGGCTCGAATGTGGCTTAGTGGTAGAGTGCTTGCCTAGTATGCAAGAAGCCCTGGGTTCCGTTCCTCAGTACCACATAACCAGAAAAGGCCAGAAGTGGCACTGTTGCTCAAGTGGTACAGTGCTAGCTACCCTTAAGCAAAAGCAGCTCAGGGACAGTGCTCAGGCCCTGAATTCAAGCCCCAGGACTAGTAAAAATAAAAAATAAAAAAATAGTGCTGGGAAGGTGGCTCAGTGGTAGAGCACTTGCCTTGCATGCATGAGGCCCTGGGCTCGATTCCTCAGCACCACATAAGCAGAAAAAAAAAGCTGGAAGTGGCACTGTAGCTCAAGTGATAGAGCACTAGCCTTGAGCTGAAGAGCTGAGGGATAGTGCCCAGGCCCAGAGTTCAGGCTCACGACCGGACTCCCCCCCCCCCCCCCAAAAAAAAAAAAAAAAACGAATTAGAGATGTAAGCATAGCTTTTTCTATTGTCCTATACATCAAATTCTTATTCTTTACATTTTTAAATGCACTAAACTTTAACTAAAAAATCACCACTTACCTGCACTTCTCTGACAACCTGCAAACAATCAGGCAAGGAGAAGCCAATAGGTAGACCAACTTTAGCTGGTGTTTTGAATTTGTCTCCTATCTTAAATGGGACATCATCAAGGTAACTGAAAGTCCCTATAATCAAAAATAAAGTAGAAAATATCAGCAAAGAACTTTATTATTTTTTATAATATTATGTTTAGTGGATACATATTAATTTAGTTGTACTCTAAGACTTCACTGCTTACCTTTTCCTTAACCCTAGATCACTAAAGAATAAAATCCTACTTCGTTCTACTTAATCTTATTAGAGTTGTTTTTCAATTATGCTGACGTGTAAAAGGTAGAGTTCTTTTTTTTTTGGTCAGTCATGGGGCTTGAACTCTGGGCCTGGGCACTGTCCCTGAGAATTTCAGCCCAAGGCCAGCACTCTACCACTTGAGTCACAGTGCCACTTCCCATTTTCTGGTGGTTTATTAGAGGTAAGAGTCTTACTGCCTGAGCTGGCTTTGAACCATGATCCTCAGATCTCAATCTCAGCCTCTTGAGTAGCTAGGATTACAGGCTTGAGCCACCAGGGCCCAACTAAAGCTAGAGTTCTTTATTTTGGGTCCGGTTGTGGGCCTGAACTCTGAGCCTGGGCGCTGTCCCTCAGCTCTTCAACTCAAGACTAGCGCTCTACCACTTGAGCTACAGTGACACTTCCAGCTTTTTTTTTTTTTTTTTTGCTTATGAGTACTGAGGAATTGAACCCAGGGCCTCAGGCATGCAAGGCAAGCTCTTTACCACTGAGCCACCTTCCCAGCCCCTAAAGCTAGAGTTCTTAAACAGCCTTTTCCCCACCAGGATCCAAGACCTCTCTCTGCCCTTATTTCCTAGTAGTCATCTTCTGGCTCATTGCAGTAAGTCATGGTGAACTCTCTTTACAACGGCAGGCAAAATAGGTCAAATCCTGGGCTGGGAAGGTGGCTCAGTGGTAGAGAGCTTGCCTTGCATGCCTGAAGCCCTGAGTTCGATTCCTCAGCACCACATAAGCAAACAGAAAGAAGCCAGAAGTGGCGCTGTGGCTCAAGTGGTAGAGCGCTAGCCTTGA